TGTGCAAGTGCACCCCCAGTCACTTTTAGCTCCACCCCCTTAGTTTTTGAGCTAATTTGCATAATGTGAAAAACCTATTCTTGCGAACTAGTCTCTGGATTTTTTGCCAATTATCATCAAATTAGTATCGTAAGATTCAGAAAACACTGATCCTCAATAATAATCAAAAACATTTTGACTGTTCCACTGAGTGTATTGAGAATCAATCAGTTAATTACTTCAACCATGGCATTGCTAGCTTGATTTGCTATAACTCAACAGTCATTGGTCAGATCATCTCCAAACTTTTGGTCCAGATTGGCCTTTAGGGGGCACTTCAGCACTCAAAAAAACTTAAAAATCAACTAAAATGCTATTACAATGTTATTACAAGGTCGATAGAGTAAACAAAATTACATGTTAAGTCAAAAATTGCACTGCTTCTCTTTTATTTTGGCTTATTCATTCAAAGATTTCACTATACAAAGGCTTATTATACAAAGGTCAAAAGGTCATTCTGACCAAAACTTGGTGAACCTCTTTGCATATGGTCCCTGATCAAGAATAAAACCATATTGTGGCCTTTTGACTAATTCTGACCCACTTTCACTGAGCTCCTCACACCAATAGGGCCTCTTACGAGTGCATTGGGCCTCATTATGGCCTACATCAAATCAATGGCTTAAATATAGAACCAATCCACTGTGCAAGTCCTACAATGTGAGAAATGCTGCCATTAGTCATGTAGTTTTGACATCTATGTTGACAACCTCTTGGATGTTCTACAAACCAGTGTAGATCAGTACATATGAATTTAAACCTATAATGTGTTTAAAGACCTCTGATCGTTGTTTATGGCAACTGAAGGCCTTTTGATGAACTGACTTCCTTTCAGTTCTATTCACTCTGCCTATGAAGAAGATCCATATCTTGAGGCCTTTTAGGCCTAATGGGCTAAACCTGCAGAAGGGCCCATACTGCTGTTGCATGCTTGAACCTGCTCATTATATATATATATATATATATATATATATATATGTATATATTTAATTTTTTACCCGATTTTCTCCCCAATTTAGTCGTCTCCAATCCCACTCCCCCAATCACACGATGCTATCAACGCTAGGAGGGTGAAGGCTAACACAGGCTTCCTCCGAGACCTGTGAAGCCAACCACCACTTCTTTTCGAACTGCCGCTCACGCAACGTCACTGGACAGCTGAACGCGCTCGGAGGAAAGCGCCAACCGCCAGATCTGTTACGTCAGCTAACAGACGCCTGCGCTGACTAGCATCGCGCTGAGTGATGGGGGGGAGGAGGAAAGAGAGAGAGAGGCCAATTGTGCTCTCTCGGACTCCTGGCTACGGATGGCTGTAACATCACCAGGGATTGAACTCGCGATCTCCTGACGACAGGGCCAACGCTTAGACGGTTGCGCCACTCGGGAGCCTCCTCTGATGTTCTGTGTAGTATAAGATTAAAATAATTAAGTTCTGGTAATGATAGGAGATACCTCTTGGGCTGCAGATCACCATCACGCCAAAGTGCAGTTTCTTTTTACAGTTTTGTCAGAGGATGTTTGGGTTCAGCCATTGCATGCCCTCTTTGTTCTTGGAAGCCACTGGGGGCTCCTGTCATTGGCCTTTTGCCGCAAGCCCCTGTTTCTGGGGTCTGTTTCCATACCAACTTTCAGGCATAGACATCTATGAGTCTCATGGGAGCTGGGCAGGAAGCCTGTTTTCAGATGGGAGGTTATTAGACCTCAGCCATGTGAAGCCTTACACAATCTAGTTGGTTTGCCCCTATGTTGGGGATTTGTTAAGAAATGTTCACTCTCCTGTGTGTGCTTCAAGTAAGTGTGAGTCACATGACAGCCAAATTAAAACTCCAAAGTGACAGCAGGAATTGTCTGGCCTGCTCTCATAAAAGAAAAACACCTACAACTCCATGCTCACAGAGGAACATGAGTGAAATAATAAAAAAATGTAGCAAAAACGTGATCTGCTATTTTATAGTGTTATTTTAATTGTTTATGGGGTAGACAGAAGTAATGTATGTCTTTTCACCAGCTTATCACTGAAAAAGTTTTGGGCTTGTGTTGTATTTAAAGGGGCACTCCGGCCAAAATGAGAATTTTAACCATTGTTACATCTAGGGGTAAATATACTTACTCACTTCCTATAGTGTTGGCGCAGTAGTCGTGAGAGCTAGATTTTTCAGTTTAAAGACTAGGAAAACCCCTTTCCTATACCAGTGGTTGTATGCTGTGGTTGCATAATGCATCCTGGCTATCGTGGTGAAAGAACATTATTGAACAAAAATGCAAAAGGGATATAAAATCATGAATTCTGTTAGCATACCTAACATGACAAATGACATATTAAATGCTTCTTTTAAGTCACAATGTGTAACTTAAGCATAAACCATAAAGCCCCATGGCTTAAGACTGCTACCATATTTTCATTAAGCAAGTTTAGCTAGCTTGCTGGTTAGGTCAGTTTTGCTAATGATCATTGCTAGCTTGTTTAGCTAGCTACCTAGCTATTATTTCTACATGCTATTGGTATCTTGACTAATGCTTGTGCTGGCCCAGCTAATTATACGGTTGTTTAAACAATAGATGTGTCTCAAAATCAAGGCAAATTTAGTTTGAGATCTTGTTTAGCAGGCCAGATGTGATCTCGTAACGAGACCATCTGGGAACATGAGACATTTTGATCTAAATATGGAACATACACTTATCAGGACAGGACCAAAGAGTGTGAAATTTCAAAACCAATCCAATGTTTTGTTATGGTGGAGCTTATAGTAGGGGCTGATGGTGCACTCGTCAACATCATTCGACGGACAGCAAGTCTGCTGTTAGCCAATGGATGTAATGTAAGGTAGCATGGCTGAGAAGTTCCCACCAAAAACATCAAGTAGATGTACATGTAGATGTATGTCATGTGCATGGAGAACACATTTACATGCAGTAAAAACAATCACTACCACTTGCGAGTGAAAAATTTTTCTGTTAGCTAACAGTAGCGTTTTGCTAGCTAGCTAGCTTGTTTTGCTTGTGTGTTCATTTGTACTCTAGACATTAAAAGAGCACAGACTAGAGGAATTCAGGGGTAGATTATAGACATACTATTGTTGTGCTGCAGTCCATTGGCAAAAGTTTAACAAATTGTGCCCAGACACATATACACGCTAGAAGATCACATCAAGCCCCACAAGACTTGGAGAGATATTATTAGGTCTTGTATCTGAAGGATCTTTAGTGCTTACTTATACATAACCGAGGCAGCCGCAGTAACATAAGCAATGTGGCAAAAGAAAAACATTCTTTTAAAATTTTAAGTACTTTTTGTGCTATGCACGAAAGATTGTGGGTAGTTGAAGGTCTTGATGGATACTCTATTTGAGTCCTTCGAATTCTCATTAACGAATGATGCACTTCCTGGTCGCATCTGATAGATGCTCAAAATGGGACAGCCTTAAGTGAGGTAGAAGGCCGAGAAATGCAGCCTACCTCAGCTGCATCTTTAGCTGTGAGACATGTCTTTTGTCTTTCCATGTCCATGATTAAGTCATGATGTCCATTAACCGTGAACCCATGAGGACAGTGGAGAAGGAGGCATGTCAAAAACACATTTCTCTTTAAAGAAAAATGCTCTAAAATGGGAGGGGCACGCTGGGAGAGGTACTGCAGTGATCTATGGGTTTGGAGGTGGGGCTGCGAGGGAAACCGGGTGGGAGGGGCTGCTGTGTTTTTAAAGTTAGTGTATGTTAGCTACCAGAAAATATGGAGAGTGACAGAATGGAGAGTGAGCCTTCATAGTATAAGCCACTGACTCAAGCTACCGAAGAGTTAACGTAGTGCCAGAAAATGATTAGCAGTGAGCGGCAGAGGCGTCCGAACGGTAGAACATTCCCTAAAACCGTGACAGTTCGCTTCTAAAGATCTGTTCAGCAGGTTCATATTCAATATAACCCGAGTCCTGATTTCTTAGATGACTTCTGAATGAATAAAGTGGATTTCTTTGAACACAATGTCTCATTGTGTTTCATTCAGTTTGACCTCAAAGTCACAGCCTGCAACATCAGTCAGCCAAGATTTGCTGCAGTGACCCTAAATCCTTACGTTCTGCAAGCTGCTCATGGCACTTACCAGTGTTACATCCGATTCAGTTCCCACTCAAATTCACATTCCCCTTCATAAATCGAAGCCTTGGGCGCGCACACTTACTGAACAGAAATCAACGGCAAGCAGCACTGGAACTGCAAAAAGTGGGAAGAAAGATAGAGAAAGGCAACACAGTAGGTAACAAGGTGGACACAGTAAGTAACAATGGCCATTTAACGTTAACCTTTCCTGAACCGATTCGCTTTAAGTAGTTCCAGTGTTGCTTGCCATTCATTTCTGTTCAGTGAGTGCGTGCAAAAACGTGAATCTGACAGCATTATGGAGACTCGCAAGAATCCTCACTTAATCAGTCCAACATCTTTACTACAAACTAAGCTTGGACTATTTGGGTTATACAGTTGGTACAGACAGCTGGCATATCGCAGCCTTGTGAGGTGGTGCTGGGAGTATTTAGCTCAGCGCATAAGTGTGGTTATCTCCTCTCTCTAGGCTCCTACACTTTCATATTTTTGAGTGCGGCGTGAGTAGGGCGTCATCAGTTTGACTGATATGTATACTGTGACATGTCTTCATACTTTGGTACAAAGACGTGTCATCCCTGCCTATAGGAGAGTTGAAACGGAGGGGTGCTGCAGAGGCGGAACTGACCACGATATAAATTATATTTTTACAGTCTAGAAAGACGTGTTCACATTTTAAGCAAGGATGGTATATTTTATTATGACAGAGCAGTGCATTTCAGCTGTTAATGAAAAAAAAAGGTCTTAGGGTAATAGTTACTTTTTAAATATGGTCTGTAGCAGCAAACATGGATCAACTAACAGCAAACTGTTTGAATTCAAACATACAGTAAGAAGGCCTTGAACTACTTTGATGTTCTTTGAATGCAGGTGCTTTGATGATGGGTCTTGTTCGGCAGTGCCAGACTATTCATGGACGGGAAAAGATATGTATGCCACCACAACTTCCCCCGGAATGGGCCACCACACTCTTCTTCATCATCATGGGCATCATTTCGCTCTCTGTCACCTGTGCTCTGCTCGTGCTGTCACACTGGCATCAGGAAACAACAAAGTACGCTCGCTGGATTGCTTTCACAGGAAGTAGGTAACACTTGTGGAACAGTTTGACTCAAAGTGTCAAAAAAATCAATGCTGTTTCTAACTATCATCTCTCTTCATCTGTTACAGTGGTCTTCTTTTGCATGGCTGCCCTCATATTTCCAACTGGATTTTACATCAATGAAGTTGGAGGACAACCTTATAAGTTACCCAACAATACAGTTGTGGGATCGTCATATGTACTTTTTGTTTTAGCAATATTTTTCACAATTGTCGGACTATTGTTTGCTGGAAAAGTCTGTCTGCCTGGCTGATAAATCTCAGTCACTGATGGACTTCAGTGTTCCAAAATCTGAATTTTTTTCAGTGACAAGATGGTGTTCTTAAAAGGACAAATTTACCCCAAGAAGAAGGAAAAATCATACACAGTCTTATCCAAACTGATGAGACTTGTTGAGGATAACACTGTCTGCCCACTTGAGAACTAAATAGATTATTGTTAAATAAATAGATAGTATTTTTTTCATATGCTCAGACGTTCAGAACAGAGTGACTAACTTCACATGACACTCATGTTGAGAGAAGAGTTGGTTTGAGAGAATGAAAGATGCCCTCGGTGGTAATATTATGACAGTGTTGGTATAATTTAAGCACAGTCTTAAATATAAAAGGTTCTTTGTACAATGCAATACACTCCTACACAAAAAGGGTTCCTTATAGTACCAAAAGGTTTAAGGGTTCTTTTAAACAACCATATAAATAGACAATACACATCAGGTTTTTAACATAGACAAGAGCCATTTAACCATGCAAAGAACCATTTATGCATTTAAATGGTTCTTTGAGTATTTGCGGTTCTATATATCACTCTTGCCTTAACTAAAGAGCCCTTGAAGAACTGTTTTTTTAAGTGTAACACAAAGGGTTTTATATAGTCTCAAAAAGGTTCTCTGACTTAAACAATTGTAGAACAGTTCTATGTATTACAACCCCATTTCCAAAAAAGTTGGGACGCTGTGCAAAATGTAAATAAAAACAAAATGCAACAATGTGCAATCAATTTAAACCCTATATTTAATTGAAAATAGTACAAAGACAACATATCAAATGTTGAAACTGAGAAATTTTATTTTTTTAAAATATATGCCCATTTTGAATTTGATGCCAACAACACATTCCAAAAAAGTTGGGACGGGGGCAACAAAAGGCTGGTAAAGTTGTGTAATGAAAAAAAACACCTGGTGGTTGATTGACAACAGGTCAGTAACATGATATAACATGGGTATAAAAAAAGCATCTCAGAGAGGCTGAGTCTTTCAGAGGTAACGATGAGGAGGGGGTCACCACTCTGTAAAAGACTGCATGAGCAAACAGTGCAACAATTCAAGAAATTGGTTTCTCAACGTAAAATAGCAAATAACTTTTGCTTTTTATCATCTACGATACATAATGTCATTAAAAGATTCAGAGAATCTGGAGGAATCTCTGTATGCAAGGGACAAGGCCAAAAAACCAGTATTTGCTGGCCATGATCTTTAGGCCCTCAGGTGGCACTGCATTAAAAACAGAGACAATTCCGTAGTGGAAATCACTGCATGGGCTCAGAACCACTTCTGAAAACCACTATCTGTGAACAGAGTTCGGCACTGCATCCACAAATGCAAATTAAAACTCTACAACACAAAGGAGAAACCATAAATAAACAGGATCCAGAAATGCTGCCACCTTCTCTGGGCCCGAGCTAATTTGAAATGGACTAAGGTGAAGTGGAAAAGTGCCCTGTGGTCCGACAAATCAACATTTGAAATTCTTTTTAAAAATCATGGACACTGTGTCCTCCGGGCTAAACACCACTCAGCTTGTTATCAGTGCACAGTTCAAAAGCCAGTATTCATGATGGTGTAGGGGAACATTAGTGCACATGGCATGGGTGACATGCACATCTGTGAAGGCACCATTAATGCTGAATGATATATTTACAAGTTTTGGCAACATGCTGCTATACAGACAACATCTTTTTCAGGGAAGGTCTTGATTATTTCAGTAAGACAATGTCAAACCACATTCTGCATGTATTACAACAGCATTGCTCCATATTAAAAGAGTCCGGGTGCTAGACTGACCTGCCTGCAGTCCAGACCTGACACTCACTGAAAACATTTGGCACATTATGATGAAATGAAAAATATGACAAAAGAGACCCCTAACTGTTGAGCAGCTGAAATTCTATGTCAAACAAGAACGGGAGATCGTTTCACTTTCAACTTTCTTTTTCCGTTCCCAAACACTTTGTTAAAAGAAGAGGTGATGAAACACAGTCGTGAACATGCCACTGTCCCAACTTTTTTGGAACGTGTTGTTGGCATCAAATTCAAAATGGGCATATATTTTTCAAAAAAACCCCAGCTGTCTGATGCATGATGTAAGATGTTTAAACATATTTGCATAAATCAGTCGTTGAGATGGACAAAGTAATAAAGAGTGGTAATGGTATATATATATATATATATATATATATATATATATATATACATACACACACACATCATGACAACAGAAATGGTCCAAAATGACTTGGAAAAAAGTCTGGTTCCATTGACTTTCATTACACACACATACATACATACATGCATTTTTCCTGCATATTTTACTGCAGAAATTATTTTTGATATATTAAACTGAGTTTAACGTATTAAAATAAATCATAAAATATAAAAAACTGCCATAACCACTCTGAGTGACTTCACAACTCTGTTTCTTAAAAAAGTTGGGATGCTGTTCAAATTGCAAATAAAAAAAGAATACAATGATAGGCAAATCATTTAAACCCTATACTTTACTGTTTTTTCAAAAATATATACCTATTTTGAATTTGATGCCAGCAACACATTCCAAAAAAGACAGGGCAACAAAAGACTGGTGAAGTTGTGTAATGCTAAAAGAAAACAACTGGTGAAACATCTTACAACTAATTAGGATAACTGGCAACAGGTCAGCAACAAGATTAGGTATAAAAGAGCATCCCAGAGAGGCTGAGTCTTTCAGAAGTAAAGATGGGGGAGGGCTTCACCACTCTGCGAAGAACTGCATGAGCAAATAGTGCAGCAATTTAAAAAGAACATTTAATGTAAAATAACGAAGAACTCCTCATCTGTGGTACATAATATCATTAAAAGTTTCAGAGAATGGGCTCAGAAACACTTCAGGGAACCACTGTCTGTGAACACAGTTCATCACTGCATCCACAAATGCAAGTTAAAACTCTACCATGCAAAGAAAAAGCTATACATAAACAGTTTCCAGAAACGTTGCTGCCCTCTCTGGGCCTGAGCTCATATAAGATGGACTAAGGTGAAGTGGAAACGTGTCCTGTGGTCTAATGAATCAAAACAGGAAGGGAAGGCCTTCAGCAAGACAATGCCAAACTACATTCTGCACGTATTACAGCAGCATGGCTCCGTAGTAAAAGAGTTCAATGCTAAACTGAACCTGCCTGCAGTCCAGACCTGAAAACATTTGGCTCATTATGAAGTGAAAAATATGACAAAGGAGACACCAAACTGTTGAGCAGCTGAAATGATATATCAAGCAAGAATGGGAAAGCATTTCACTTTCAAAACTACAGCAGTTGGTCTTCTCAGTTCCCAAATGCTTACAGAGTGTTGTTAAACAAAGAGGTGATGCAGTGGTAAACATGGCCCTGTCCCAACTTTTTTGGAATGTGTTGCCGCCATCAAATTCAAAATGGGCATATATTTTTCAAAAGACAATAACGTTTCTCAGTTTTAGCATTTTATATGTTGTCTTTGTACTATTTTAAATCAAATATGGGGTTTAAGTGATTTGCACATTGTTGCATTCTGTTTTTATGTACATTTTGTCCCAACTTTTTTGGAAACAGGGTTGTATTTGCATCTTAAAGATTCAGTCATGAATAATTGAAATCATTGCAATCCCCTTTAGTCAGTTTTGTTTTGCGAATATTCATAATTTTAAAAGAACGTGTTTGAAAACCTCTACAGTCATATGCTAAAGTTTGGGCACCAATGGTCATGGCATGTTTTGTTGATTTAAAGTAAAATAAGTACACATCCTCTACACTGTTTATTTGCTGAATTTAACATATTGGAGGAAACATAAAATGTGGCCTGTACAAAAGTTATACCTTCTATACCTACGAATTTTCACTTAGAAAATTAACAAAACAAATTAAAAATAGCTACATAATGCAGGTTTTATTTCATTTTTCAGTTTAACATTTTAAATTTCTAAAGTTAGGTAAATACATACAAAGATCATTTTGAATGTCTGTATGCTTGAATAGCCTTCCCATCCCTAATCACAGTGCTCAGTTCTGCCCTGCAATTGCCCTGACGTTATTAAGGAATCCACTAGAGATGCAGAAATTGTGGATTTTAATGCCCGATTCAGAGCACAAGGAGTCATGTGTAATTATTCTAGATTTATTCAACATTTTGGTATGGGTGCATTCAAATAAAGCATGAGTACACTTACCTGCCTCACATTATTTACGGCAAAATTGCAGCGCAATCAAAATAATAAATTGGCTGATTGCCAGTTGCATGTTAGGAAGAAAAATTTGTCGATTGTTACCTTTGGCAAGTCTGATCACTCTGAAAGGGGCAAAAATTGGGAACAGGAATGACTGGGCTGTCAAAATACAATTAAATAATTGTCAGATCAGCAATTTAAGTACAGTAGAGGTGAGTTTTTGCCAGCATTAAAATGGAGTCCATAATCCACTTTTTCTTTTTTTTTCTTTTTTTTTTTTTGCTTGATTTATAGTGTTGCTAATGCACGTTATCTTTCAGGATTTGTACAAATGCACCAATACTGATTCTAAAAAAGATATTTTGTTAATAGTCTAACATTTGCCACCTTAAGGATAGTCATTTTAGATGGATGGGAATGATACAAAGCATAGCATATTCTTGTTTCTTGCAGTTCAGAGTTTATAAAGCACTGTGTTGTACATTGTATGTTGGGTTACAAATTTCTATAGATAAATCGTGCTTTCAGTTCATTGTACTTAAAAAAGAAAGTTTCTCGGATGTCTGTCTAGACTAAAATTATAAATTTTATGTTCTCTTTAAGAGAATTTCTCGAAGAATCCAACTTTCTGTGATTCTTCTGAATGTTCCTCATAATTTATGCATTGTGGCATTGGAAAAGACAGAGTTAAGTAAAGTGCAACTTGCTTTCGAACGTAAGGGTCAAAGCAGAGGGGAAACTAATATTGCTGGAACAGCTGAGAATGTATTTGTTCCTGCTGTACTTGAAATGTCTTTGCGAGCAAAGATACCAAATGTTAGCCACCTCCTCAAAGATGAAACCTCAGTCTGTTATTTATAGCTTATCTCCTGTGCCGCTTTCAGTCTTATCCATCTCTTTGTGAGCTTCATCCCTGTATAACTCCATCTCTTGTTTCCTTAGCAACCACAAGTATTCACAGAAAACCAGTGAGAGAATTATCTTTTTGTAAGATCTGTTGATCAGCAGTATTTTGTAATTCCCTTGTAAAGAAAAAAGAAGAGCAACATGTTACACTAGAGAGGATTCATTGTGAATTAACTGAACAAGGCTGAGACAAATAAATTGAAATGAAACTGCCGACTATAATGGTTTGATTGATTACTTTTTGATCATATATCACTTATTGCATATGGAATAAGTAGACTGTTTTTTTGACAGTGTGACGACAGCTAAGGAAAAGACATTTTCCAAGAAAACAGTGAGCTCTCACTTGTGACTATGCTCCCCGACTGGAAATAGGGTCATGTCTCCAGCTTAGCTTTCTGAAAGTTTTAAAGGTACTGAAAGGTACTTCTCCTAGACATGGTTAAATCCAGTTTGAAATCAGTGTTTCTGGAATTTGGCTCCTGCGAAATAAAACTCAGATTCTCTCGCTTTGATCACAATGTTGTCACACATCTCACCCCAGTCTCAGCTGAATAATATCTCCATAAGAAAAGTATAAGATCTCATTGTTTTCTTATAC